GTGTGTGTGTGTGTGTGTGTGTGTGTGTGTGTGTGTGTGGTAAATGTATTGACATCCAATCAATAATAAGATTTGTTACAATATTATGAAGTTAATTTAGTCTAAGTGTGTATGAAACAAAATATATTATGTTGTGTAATATTTTTAACTTGTATTTGAAAAATATTTATACTTTATTCATCACTTCATCTTTCATTCACTTATCCAGCAATCTGAAACTTCTGACTTAACACAACTTTGTTGCTTGGTCTAATATAACTCATTCAGTGAGTTGTTCTCATATGCAGGGCAATTTAATGCCACAAGTTAAGCTAAAACAAGAAATATATATACTTCTCATTGTTTTACTTCACCCAATTTCAGTTCTAATTCATCCTACATGTACATGTAGTTTTTAGGTACAGTGCATCCGGAAAGTATTCACAGCGCTTCACTTTTCCCACATTTTGTTACGTTACAGCCTTATTCCAAATTGTATTAACTTAATCTCTTTCCTCAAAATTCCACACAAAATACCCCATTATGACCATGTGAAAAAAGTTTTCTTGAGAGTTTTGAAAATTTATTAAAAATAAAAAACTAAGAAATCACATTTACGTAAGTATTCACGGCCTTCGCCATGAAGCTCAAAATTGAGCTCAGGTGCATCTTGTTTCCACTGATCATCCTTGAGATGTTTCTACAGCTTAAATGGAGTCCACCAATGGTAAGTCCAGTTGACTGGACATGATTTGGAAAGGCCCACACCTGTCTAAATAAGGTCCCACAGTTGACTGCATGTCAGAGTGCAAACACCAAGTAAGAAGTCACAGGAATTGTCTGTAGACCTCCGAGACAAAATTGTCTCGAGGCACAAATCTGGGGAAGGATATAGAAAAATTTCTACTGCTTTGAAGTTCCCAGTGAGCACATTCGTAAATGGAAGAAGTCTGGAACCACCAGGACTCTTCCCAGAGCTGGCCGGCCGTCTAAACTGAGTGATCGAGGGAGAAGGGCCTTAGTCAGGGTGACCAAGAACCCAATGGTCACTCTGTCAGAGCTCCAGCGTTCCTCCGTGGAGAAGAGAACCTTGCAGAAGGACAACCATCTCTGAAGCAATCCACCAATCAGGCTGTATGGCAGAGTGGCCAGGCAAAAGCCACTCTTTAGTAAAATGCACAAGGCAGCCCATTTGGAATTTGCCAAAAGGCACCTGAAGGACTCTGAGACCATGAGAAACAAAATTCTCCGGTCTGATGAGTCAAAGATTGAACTCTTTGGTGTGAGTGCCAGGCGTCATGTTGGGAGAAAACCAGGCACTGCTCATCACATGGCCAATACCATCCCTACAGTCAAGCATGGTGGTGGCAGCATCATGCTATGGGGATGTTTTTCAGCAGCAGGAACTGGCAGACTAGTTAGGATAGAGGGAAAGATGAATGCAGCAATGTACAGAGTCATTCTGGATGAAAACCTGCTCCAGAACGCTCTTGACCTCAGACTGGGGCGATGGTTCATTTTTCAGGAAGACAATGACCTGAAGCACACAGCCAAGATCTCAAAGAAGTGGCTTCAGGACCACTCTGTGAACGTCCTGGAGTGGCCCAGCCGGAGCCCAGACTTGAATCCAATTGAACGTCTCTGGCGAGATCTGAAAATGGCTGTGCACAGACGTCTCCCATCCAACCTGATGGAGCTTCAGAGGTACTCCAGAGAAAAATGGGCAAAACTGCCTAAAGATAGGTGTGCCAAGCTTGTGGCATCATATTCAAAAAGACTTGAGGCTGTAGTTGCTGCCAAAGATGTTTTTACAAAGTGTTAAGCAAAGGCTGTGAATATTTATGTAAATAAGATTTCTTTGTTTTTTAATTTTTAATAAATTTTCAAAACTCTCAAGAAAACTTTTTTCACATGGTCATAATGGGGTATTTTGTGTAGAATTTTGAGGAAAGAGATTAATTTAACGCAATTTGGAATAAGGCTGCAACGTTACAAAATGTGGAAAAAGTGAAGCGCTGTGAATACTTTCCAGATGCACTGATGATGGTGAACAATGGTGAACTGAAAGAATTTAAAACTGATATGGAACTGTTATAAAAACTTAATATCATTAGACAAAGGTCAGCTAAAATACACATTAATATGCCAACATGCAAGCACAAACTGGACAACTGGTCAAACAGTGTGTGGACAGTCTATTTATTATGACACACTTCAGGTAGCAACGTGAGTGGTAAAGGTCAAAGCAGCTCTTAACTTGTGAAAACCATACATCTGCCCACCCATCTGCAAACTGTCTTTACAGAGACTGTGCCTGCAGACATACTGTATGCACAAAGATGAGCAGCTACACGTCTGAAGAAAGTGTGACAAGACAGACAGCGCAATTATTTGGTAAAAAAAAACTTTACAAAATGTTAAAGACATTTTTTGGTTTGTTTGTTTATCTGTGTGTCAGGCAATTATTTTCATACTTACATGCCTAGACCAGGGTTAAATCCAAAAAACATCTCAAGGCACTGGTCACAACTCCGCCCTCCAACTGAGGAATGGGCACACACACACTGTCCTGTTTGGCTCTCACAGCTACGCTGTAATGCACCTATAGGATGGCAGTCACACTCCAAACACATGCTGCCATCTGCAGAGAGGTAGAACCCTGAAAGAAATACAAAATAAAAGTGCAGAGAATTCTTTAAGTAGGTCTGACTGCTTGTTTATATCAGTTTAGTCACAGAAAATCTTCATTTTAATATTTTATCTACGTTTCTTCTCTTTACACGATATACATACTGTGAACCATATACAACTTTATTAAGCCTTTTATAAATTTCAGGGGAACTAATTATACACATTTTAACATATTCAAATGATTGTTTGGAGTTTATTTTAAATGAAATTGAACACAAAACCAATAAACATGCTTAAAGTTACATTGGGGACTCTGGGTTTCAAAGTATAAATCAACTAACAATAAAAGGCCTGTGAGCTAATAAACAAACAGAAAACAATACTAATGGCTGTCAGGCATGTCAAAAGCTGACTGAAAGCTCACAAATTCAATAAAAGATATTAGAGGAAAAGTAAAATTAGAAAAAAATTAACAATTTTGTATAAATTAATATTAGTGCTCTAATGTTGTGCAATTATGACAGGTTGGTAAGCTACAGATGCCAACAATTGTTCAGCTTGATTGCAAAAAAATCATCATATTTAAAACATGCAAAATTAAAATTTTACGTGAAGGAAAATAAAAAGAGAGTAAATGAAGAAATGAGAAGAGCTTAGTGACAAAGAGCAGAGTTTTAGGAATTTGGAACAGTTAAAATTATAAACATGTTTTTTTGGTAATAAGAACATGTGCTTATTTTTGAACCTAAGACTTACGGCAACACATGTAAAAAACACAAACTTAAGATCTAAAACCTTTTCCTCACATTTTTTTTTGTACACACGGTTTAAAATTTTTTGGGGCTTAATATTTGTCTTTAAGCAGATTTGCTTCTCCTAAACTTAATTTGACAACCCATTTATCATTTATCTGTGTTTCTAGCTCACCAGGTCGGCAGCTACTGCAGTCCTTTCCATGGCGTGTTGGGACACAAACACATTGCCCTGTGGTACTGTCACACACTGACCCCGTCACTGTTCCCCTGGGGTCGCAGATACATGGTACACAACCCTGAGACAAACCATCTGAGAAGGCACAAAACAACACAAGGGCAGATGCTTTTCATAGGATAATTGCTCATGCAACACTTCAAAAGTTTTTTAATATACAAAAACTTTCACTTCCAAAACTGTGTTGTAACTTTAAAAGTGTAACAAAGATAATATTGGTTTCATCTCTGGGTTTTCTTACTCTCGGGGTCTAAACTTCCATTATAGTAGTTTTGAAGACAGCTGGTACAGTGTACACCCTCCACCCCCTCCTTGCATGGGCATTGTCCAGTCCACATATCACACACCCCCCCTGGCACGGTTCCACTAATGTCGCACAGACACGGCAGGCAGCCCAGGGAGTTACGGCGCTCCAGGGTGTGATAACCAAGACGACAGGAGTCACAGCCACGGCCCTCCACATGTTCCTAAAATAAAGAAAAGAGGCATAAAGACAGAAAAATTAAATAATGAATGTAAAATAAATTATATTAAAGAATCACAACATAAAAATGACTGTCAATGGATCACACTAGGTGTTGAAGGAAAAACAGTCACATTTCATATAATCATGGAAGTTCACAGGCATAGGTCAGATGTTAGCCACTGTTGTGCCTAAAGTGAGGTTAGTTTAACTACAACATTTTAAAACAAGGACAGTATGAAAAAGCTATACATGCCTTGCACACACACTGGCCTGTGTATGTATCGCAGTCTGTCCCTGGTACTGTCCCGTCATGTGAGCAGTTACAAGGCGCACAGGATCCCTCGAGTCCTAAACCGTACAAGCTGCTGCCACAAGAGTCACACTGTCGGCCCCCCACCCCGGGTATACACTCACACTGGCCCCCCTCAGGCTCACAAAATGAGCTGAGGGAACCCAAGGGGTCACAGTCACATGGGATGCAGTCTTCTGGGTGGGAAAGGTTCCAATAACCGAACTCACAGCGGTCACACGACAGACCTGGAAACATAGAAAGAGCGACAAAAGGACACAGAGAAAACAGAAGGAAATGCTGTTTAAAGAAAGATCATAGGAAGAGTCAAGTGGAATCTGTTTAGGTAAAAAAAATAAGAAATAAATGCACAGAAGTTTACTGTTGCTTGCTTGTTCACAAAATATATTTAGCCTCTTTTAAAGGCAGACCAGTGTGCGTGCGTGCATGTGTGTGAGAGAGAGAAATAATGTGAGAGAGAGCAAGAGAAATGGTGGGTGAGTGAATAAAACTGCCATCATTAGGGCCAGGCCCTCTACTTATGATGGATCACTTACCTAAGGCCAAACACTTAATTTTACTGAGCAATAAATAAAAAAATAAATTCAGCCACTATAAGAAAAGAATGGAGGGAGAAAATGAAAGAAGATGGAAAGATGCAAGACTGAAACGCAAAAGTTAAAACTGAATCATCCTTGTGTAAAAAACAGGAAGGTTTTAATTTCATTCAGAAGAAAACCAAACAAAAATCATGATTTTTCTCTACTACAAGATTTAAAAAAAGTATATAAAAAAAGCGTGTTTATTATTTGACAGGTGGACATTTTGGCTCATCAGAACAAGAAAAATGCATCATCTTCAGGTGAATAATGCAAAGTATTGAGCAGCTTCCTGGGATTTTAAGGAAGCAATTTAGAGCAAGACAGGTATAATTTGAACTGACCAAATAACATCATTTTGAGTTTTCATTTAAAACATTTGTATTTCTTGTTTGTTTTTTCTTTTTCTTTTTTTTTACATGTTCAGGCATATGAACATATAATTCTTACTTCATTTGTTTCATTCAAATTTATTCAATAATCATGAACAGCCGTAAACACCAGGTTCATTTTGTAAGAGCCATTATAACAAGAATTAGTGCTGGGCTCTAAGGCTAGTTAAACTATGATGTGTGTGTGTGTGTGTGTGTGTGTGTGTGTGTGTGTGTGTGTGTGTGTGTGTGTG